TGTTAATTTTTAAACCTATTCTCCGAATGCTCTCTTCAGCTGCCGGTGTTTCTCGTGCTTTTTTTAGTTGCTGTTATAATACAGTGGCACTTTACAACTTTCAAGCAATTTGCTGATCGCATTCTGGATGAGGTTGCCCATCCACTCCACTCTGAATTAGCGGCCGTGAAGTCCTCCCATACTATGCCTCCAAGCTTCCGACATTTGTCCCGCCGTACATCGACATATCAGCACTCTGTACTCCCATTCCTAGCACGCTTTCTCACTTGTAAAGAAACGGAAATACAGAAGCTGAGATTAGACCTGTGCCCATAATAGATGTTGATTTCATGCAAACCTCTACCTTTTTGAGTTCTTTATAAAACGTATGCCTTGATCTCAGTGAATGGAACCCCTTATTGCTGAAAATCTTCGACGTCACCTTCAAAATATAAAGCATATTTCTCCCCTTCTTCTTCTCGAGAGAGCTGTTAACAGCCCTTCTCCCTAAAGAAACATGCTAATCAACCATTTATGCTGACAGAGGTCCGAGTGGTCTGATTCGCCATTATCACCCCAGCTGCAGGTCGGACAGAGGTCAACAGAGCAGTCGAATCAAACGTTCTACCATTTGAGCCGGTCCGGACTACCAACTAAGGACACCTGCAATCGATTCTGAAAGGTGCTAATTTTAGTATGTGCGTGACCATGCGCGCGGCAGCTGGGTGTGTGTGCTATCGCTCTTGCTAATGAGTCTAAGCGCACGTTTAAAAGCGTCACACGAGTACCCTTTTCCTTCTCCTCCTCCTGATTGAGTGATCTGTTAACGGCTCTTCTCCGGCTGGTGGAGTGGAAGCGCCTTAAGGCGGCATGCTAATCAACCATTTCGAGGTCCGACTGGTGGCCAGTTCTAGCCGATTCAGCCAGAACAGATCGCGCCGAGGTCAACTGGTTAATGAGCAGTCGAGTCAAGCATTCTACCACATTCGCTGTGAGAGGAGGCGATCAGCATCTGCCAGCTTGACGTAAACGCCTCCTACATCAGCTGCTAAAAATGAAGAAGCTTCAGAGGCTGAGCGTCGGGGGAAGGGGGGCGGGGGTGAATCAGTGCACATGCTTGTGGAATTTTTTATGCGTCAATGCTTCTCTTACACGCAGGCAAATCTCTGTGTAGGAGCACGCAAGACTGGTTTATTGCACAGGAAGGGTGACTAGGCGCATGAGGATGGCAAAGAGAGCAGGTTTCAAGGAT